CAGAAAAAGACAAGTTTCTTCACTTTAATTATTTTGACGAGAGCCTGATTCCACCACGCTGCCTCACAAATGAGAATGAATGCAGGGACGCTGTAAATGTATTTACAAATTGGGGTGATAACCATTTCTTTCACTAAATGTATAAAAGACAAAGAATTAGTAATAGACTTTCGAGTTTAAAAAAACCCAACTGCAAACACTAGATCTATTTATTAAAGATGAGGAGGGAGAGGTGGTAAGCTCTTACAAGTATATTGGTGTAACAATCGACCACAAACTTGACTGGCATCCCCACGCTGCTCTTGTGCATAAAAAAAGTAAATCAAAGAATGTTTCTTTTAAGGAAATTAAGAAGTTTCCGTGTTGATAATAAGATTATGTCCCTTTTTTTACCCTTCCATGATTGAAAGCGTGCTATTATTTTGTATTTGCTGCTGGGCTGGGAATTGTAAGGTGAAAGATAAAGAACAATTTTACAGAACCATTGAGAAAGCCAGAAAGATCTCGGGATATGATTTTACTAGAATTGATGAAATGAATAACACCAAAAGTATTTTTTTTAAAGATAAAAAGCATTATAAACGACCCTCACACCCCCCCTCCACGCAAAATGTAAGATCACGCAGCGGCAGATATGTACCTCCAAAAACAAATAAAGAAAGATAAAAGAAGTTTGTAAAAACCTAGCATTAGGCTATGGTCAGAATGAGCATAGATGTGTGTTGCTCTTTAGAGTATGTATCTGTATAATAATATAACTCCAAGGGTCTTGCAATTGAATTCCTGCATGTGGTTGCAAGATGGATCTGATTTTGAATGTACATTTTGTCGGCTTTACTTCTCTTTCCATATTGAATTTTAATGAGAGTAATAATTTTACTTTTTATGTATACCTGCAAGTATTTTTACGGTCGTGTACAGCCAAGAAAAATTTCCCTCTAGGTAATAAAGTATTATCTTATCATATCTTATCTTATCTTATCTTATCCTTCACACAGGTGGGAATGGGTACCTGGCCATAGACAACGAAATATCGTGTCAGCATGTTAGTGTTTTAGCGCCTATAAATCTATAAATGGCCGCTTGCACTGTATGAGGTTGTTTCAGAATGCTGTCAGGTCTGCAGGGGTAATAGTATAGATTGTGAAGCGCATAGACCTTGCTGTTGAGTTGGGATCTGCGCTGTACAAGCGTGTCATGATGTCAGGCAGTCAGGCGCTGGCGTCAATTTTTGGGCATGTTGAGTTATTGGTACCATCTGAAAGTGTGTTCGTTTAAAGTGTGTTCGGATAAAAATAGAAATAATATTATTATTTTTAGATTAAAATCTTTATATTAAAACTGTCATGACGTCACCAGCCAAGGACGAAGCAAGGTGCAAAAAGGGAAGACCAGAAAAACAAATTATAGAGACCTGTTCATTATGATTACAAACTTGTTTTCAAGATAACTGGATATTATCCATTTATCTTGAATACAAGTCGAGATATTTGTAAATGACGGAGATGTGGGTCACCTGAATTTAGAGGTAAAATTAATGAGAAAATGGCCGCCAAGATTAGTAATTTCTTTATCTTGAAGATCTGAGGAAACAGGTAAATAACTTTTTTTGTGTACTTTTAATCAAAGTTTTTCTGTAAAATCTACACAAAAATGTATTCTTTAATGGGCATGAAAGGTGTTGACCCAAAAATGTAAAAAAAATTTATTTGATTATTTTGACGAGCGCCTGATTTGGCCACAATGCCTCACAAACATGTGAACCGTGCAGACAAAATGAGTTACTTCTCAGATTCAAGCATTAAGGAAATAGACACATCACTCTTACAGGTAAAATTGTTACAATTTATAAGTATGCAATAAAAAAAGGCATGTTATAGTTTAAAAATATGGCACTAATAGAAAATCTACAAATTTGACCCTAATGTCTATTTTTAGCCAATATCTCCATTCGTGGATTGCGTGAAGTAACTCATTTTGTCAGCATGCCTAACAAATTATTAATAATAATAACAATAATAATAATAATAATAATAATAATAATAATAATAATAATAATAATAATAATAATAATGATAATAATGATATAATAATAATAATAATAATAATAATAATAATAATAATAATAATAATAATAATAATAATAATGATAATAATAATAATAATAATAATAATAATAATAATAATAATAATAATAATAATGATACTAACTATCATTATTCTGGAAATAGTCGGTGTGTCAGGAACAGATTAAAACTGTCGTGACGTCACCACCTAAGGACGAAGCAAGGTGCAAAAAGGGAAGACTAGAAAAACAGATTATAGAGACCTGTTCGTTATGATTACAAACTTCGCAGCTCGCCGCAGTCAGCAGATAATTAAAGATTAAGACCACCTGTTTTGTTTTTGAACATGTACAAGTTTTACTGCTCTTGCAACACGGCTAGGTCGTAATAATTATAGGCTAGGTGTTGAAGAATAGAGATGTTACAAGATAGTAACAAACACATGAAGGTATACCATAGTGCGTGTGTTTGTGTGTGTGTGTGTGTGTGTTTGTGGTGTGTGTGTGTGTGTGTGTGTGTGTGTGTGTGTGTGTGTTTGTGTGTTTGTGTGTGTGTGTGAGTGTGTGTGTGTGCGTGTGTGTGTGTGCGTGTATGTGTGTGTGCTTGTGGTGTGTGTGTGAGTGTGAGTGTGTGTGTGTGTGTGTGTGTGTGTGTGTGTGTGTGTGTGTGTGCGTGTGTGCGTGTTTGTGTATGTGTATGTGAGTGTGTATTGGGGAGGGGGGCGGGATTGCTTGTATGTGTGTATACGTATGTATGCAGTATAATGCATTGCATATAAATTATATATTGCACGTATGATATGTGAGGCGCGCTGACAAAATGAGTTACTTCTCACATTCCACAAATGCAGATATTGGCCAAAAATCGACACTAGGGATACATTTCTAGGTTTTCTATTGATGCTATAGTCATTGAGTACTAATTGTAAAAACTGAACCTATAAGCATGATAATGTATCTATTTTCATAGGGCTCAAATCCGAGAAGTAACTCATTTTGTCAGCACGCTTCACATATGATATATGAGTTTGAGATGCGTATGTACGTATGTGTGTATGTATCTGTGTATGTGTGTGTGTGTGGGTGCATGCGTGCGTGCGTGCGTGAGCATGTGTGCACGCGTATGTAATACTGTGTGCCTATAAAATTGATGTGTAAATCCATAATATGTCTCATGTTAAGCGCATAGAGCATTGTATAAGTGGATATACGCTATATAAATGCAATCCATTATTATTATTATTATTATTATTATTATTATTATTATTATTATTATTATTATTATTATTATTATTATTATTATCATTATTAGTATACTTATACATTGAAATATTGAAATATGACCAATGTAATTTCGCTCACAACAAGAACCGAGCTGGCGTCGGTAATCTAGTGGTTAGGCTACCAGACTCATAATCGTGAAATTTAGAGTTCTGGGATTTCTTATTTAGCTCGGTCCTTTCGCAGACGGACGTTGAACTGGGAGGTCCCGCCTCTGTATCCACGTACTAATGTTAGTTTTAGTAGACGTTTTACGGCGTTCGCGACTGCATAAGGTCATACGAGCGCCAGAAGATTAGAGGTGTTACTAGAGAGTAACAGAAATAAAACAAGAAGAAAGGTAGATATTAAGGACGATAGATGTTTGATAGGAAAGAAGAAGCAAACCACACCAGAGCACCCGCCAACCACACCAGAGCACCCGCCAACCACCCACTCCTACTAGTGTGAACAGGGACGTTAAACCTACGCCATATCACCATAATTTATTTTCAAGAACTGACCAGTTGGAAGGTGACCGGCATGAGAAGCGTGGCTGTGGCCGTGTTGCTGGTCACTTCTGTTGCCATGGCAACAATGACGCAGATCACCAGGTTCAGCAACCAGGGGTCCAGGCTGTCAAACGTCGCCAACTGGTCGCCCAGCCAATCAGAGAGCTTGGATTTCTGTGAATAAAACAAGTAAAGGAAGCTTGGGGTTCTTTGACGAGAGCTCTACAGACAACCAATCAGAGAGCTTAGAGTTCTACAGACAACCAATCAGGGAGCTTAGAGTTCTACAGACAACCAAACAGAAAGCTTAGAGTTCTACAGACAACCAATCAGAGAGCTTAGAGTTCTACAGACAACCAATCAGAGAGCTTAGAGCTCTACAGACAACCAATCAGAAAGCTTAGTGTTCTACAGACAACCAATCAGAGAGCTTAGAGTTCTACAGACAATCAGAAAGCTTAGAGTTCTACAGACAACCAATCTGAGAGCTTAGAGCTCTACAGACAACCAATCAGAGAGCTTGGGTTTCTGTGGACAGAACCAATCAGTTTTAGTTTTAGTAGAGGTTTTACGGCACTCGCAACTGCATAAAGTCATGTGAGCGCCAGAAGATTAGAGGTGTTACAAGAGAGTAACAAACATAAAAAGAAGGAGGGGAGATAAAGATGATAGGTGTTTGATAGGAAAGAAGATGTAAACCACACCAGAGGACCCGCCAACCACCCACACAACCAAACAGAGAGCTTGGAGTTCTACAGTCAACCAATCAGAGAGCTTAGAGGGTGGAAAAGATCTATACCTGGCCTTCTCGGACAAGGGCGAAAAATCTAAGAAGTCCTGTGCGCATCATCATCATCATCATCATCATTATCACCATCAAGTAAGTGCCAGATCTGCAACAGACTTTGGTGACCACGATTCGTCATTCATTTCTTTGTTCGAACGTTCTAAAAATGAATTGTTATCATTGTCATTATCCTGATCTTTCCCTTTCACGCATTTCTTCAGAATCTCCAAGTAAGTGACTTTGGGTCTACTGAAGAGGAATATCATTCAGTAGCGACAAGACTATATTGTGTATTTGCCATCATTCGTACCTGTTCTTTGTATCCATTTTTATTCTTTTCCATATTTGTCAATCATATTCATTCACTTTATTTCTGTTCCGTTTCTGTCCCAGTCACGCATCGTCTGACGTATGTCTTCATTGTGCTTGATCATTAAAGTCTTCGTCAACTCACAAAGAGTGTTGGCATTATTTATATGTACGGCACTCTTACTTCGTTTGTCTTTTTATCTTTTCCCACTGTGAGAAAGACCATCGAGGCTTTTATGTTACTAAATTTACTTCTTCATGTGGTGTTTGTTGTTAATCTTCCCTTTCAGACAGGATTTCCCTTAATTTTACCGCGGCATTAACAGACATTGTTCTCTTCTCTGCGACAATACGGGAGGATAAATAAAAAAATATGTTCATCTTGACTGGTTCTTTCCATTCTTGTCGTGTTTGTGTCTTGACAACCACAATATGAGTCACGACGCGGTGGAATCAGGCGCTCGTCAATTTGGGGGCATATGGGGCTATTGGTATCATCTTAAAGTCTCTTAAGTTGCCATCCTTTTTGTGAAAAAATGTCCCTCTCTCTTGAACAAAAGTCGAAATTTTTGCGATTGGAGGAGGTCAGGGTCGCCGGGTTACTGGGGTAAACTTAGCGAGAAAATATCCGTTAAGTTTGGTAACCTCCATAGCATCAAAGTCCTTGGAAACTGAACACATTTTTTGGACCTTTAATTGACATTTTTCCGTAAAATTGATATGGGAATGTTGTAGTATGGACAGAAAAGGTGTTGGGGAAAACAATTAAAATTCAATGAAAATGTCCACACCTGCGGAAAAATGCCTGTTTCTTCGAGCTCATTCTTTTGACGAGCGCCTGATTTTACCACGATGCCCCACAACTATAAGTACAAATTGGAAGAAAACATTCCCATCTACCGAGAGACAGGATTACGAAGTGTCCACAACCACAATATTTGTACATACTGGAACAAAACCTTTCCATACACCCAGGGGACAGGATTATGAAATTCCCTAACCTCCTTACACCGACATTAACAGAGGAAATTTCCCCTAAGGGGAAAACATGCTATTTATTGTCAGCACTGAACTTACTGTAGAGATGAGCAAAATCCGGATGATCTATAATACGGATAACCGGACAATTCTCAATGAAACATTATCCAAATTCACATTCTTAACCCCCTTTTTCCTGACCCGTTTGCCGAAGTGGGTGCACTCCCATTTGTTGAGGTCGTGCCGGCTAACCCGTTTGTCGAAGTGGTTCATATCATAATAATAAAAGTATTATTTGCCGAAGAGGTGCACTAACATATTATCCGGATATTGTTAAAGCGACGCATTGCCCAGCCCTACTGTACTGCGAATGTTTAGTACGCAAAAGTCTTCTACTACTAGAACTTCTAGTCTAGACAAAACAACGTATTCCCAATGACCAATGGGATAAACAAAAACGCCACGACGCGGGGGAATCAGGCGCTCGTCAATTTTTGGGCATGAAGAGCTGTCGGTATAATCTTAAAGCTTGCTCATCTGCATTGCTTTTGGATGAAAAAATATCCATGTATTTTGAACAGAAGTCGATATATTTGCGATTGAAGGAGATTGAAGGAGGTTGAAGGAGATTGAAGGAGGTGGGATCGCCCAGTTTCAGGGGTAAAATTCGCGAGAAAATGGCCATCAAAGATCAGTTATTTCTTTAGCTTGAGAGTCCATGGAAACTGAAAATGCACATTTCTTAAAGCCTTTAATCAATGTTTGCCAGTAAAATCCACACAGAAATGTGTTCTTTAAAGGGCATGCAAGATGTTGAGCCCCCCCCCCCCCCCCAACAAAAAAACAACAACAAAACAAAACAAAACACAACAAAACAAACAAATTAGATAAAAATTCACAACCATGCGGGAGAATGCCCGTTTCTTCACTTTGATTATTTTGACGAGCGTCTGATTTCACCACGCTGCATCACACATGTCATGACGGGCTGGACTCAGGTGCTCGTCAATGTTTGGGTGTGTGGAGTTATTGGAATATGATCTTAAGAATCTTTTATACCATACTTGGAGCTGCTTTAGCATTGCACTTCCGGTCAAATATATCCTTATATTTCACACGTGAAGTATAGGCTGGCTAAGCTGATATCTCACACGTGAAATATAAAAATTTGCATAAATTACTCCGCGCACTAGATCTATATTCGCCTTCTACTTCTATCCCTAAAAGAAAAGGAAAACAATCCAGATTTTTCCCAATTCCCAATCTGACCTCAACGGGCATGAAAATGTTGTTTTCATGTGAGAATCTGGAATGGATCCTCTTGTCCAATTGACAGGTCATTTCAACTTCGTTGGCACATATGTATTTCGCCAGCTGATATCAGTATGGTATACAAAATCTATTACACTCGTTTTGGTGTTAGATAATGATTTATCCTACTTGTGAAATTGCCAGTTGTATTCACTCATTGAAACTCGTGATTACAACTTGGCAATTTCACTCGTAGGATAAATCATGATCTAACACCACAACTCATGTAATAAATTATTTATCTCGCTAACTGCCCACGCCACCGCGTCTGGGGTAAGCACCTTGTCTAGCGTATATAATATGTGAGGCAGCGTGGTGAAATCAGACGCTCGTCAAAATAATGAAATTGAAAAAATCGGCATTTTCCTACCCTTTTTGGAAGGTTTTTTTCCCGAATTTTTGTTTATTTTGGCTCAACAGCTTGTATGCCCATTCAAAAATATTCTTATGTGTGGATTTTGTGGAAAAACGTTGATCAAAATCACAAAAAATATAAATTTGCAGTTTCCAAGGACTCTTGAGCTAAGGAAGTCACCAAAATTTGGAAACCATTTTCTCGCTAATTCTACTTCTGAAACCAGACCACCCCATCTCCTTCAATCGAAACATCTCGACTTTCTATTCAAGATAACAAGATATTTTTCTTACCAAATGCAAGGCAAATTAACAGGCTTTAAGATGATACCAATAAACTCATAAGTCCAACAATTTACGAACGCCTTATTCCATCACGTCGTGACACATATAGACCCTTGTGTTGTCTGATGTCTGACCGTCTGGAATTAGTCCTTTGTGAAGCATGCTGACAAAATGAGTTACTTCTCAGATTCGAGCTCTATGGAAATAGGTTCATCACACTTATTGGTGAAGTTTTTACAATTTATAAGTATGAAACAATAATAGGCATGTCATACTTGTAAAATATGGCATCAATAGAAAATCTACTAATTTGACCCTTGTGTCGATTTTTGGCCAATATCTCCATTTGTGGAATGCGAGAAGTAACTCATTTGGTCAGCACGCCTCACCTTTGTTTCTTGCAGACGCCTCTTTATTTCTGACGTCACAGCGGTCACAACAGCGAGTTATTTGGCTGACTTTTTCATCTTTAGAACCAGAGGGAATGAACATTGAATTTTTCGCGAACCCGACGGCCAGACAGAAACGCTACCCTTTACATTTTGATTTTCCAGAGCTATCTTTTTGGGTATCTGAGAGCTATCCTTTTCATTTAGGATTTCCCAAGTTACCCTTTTCATTTTAATTTCAGAGAACTATCCTTTTTATTTTAGTTTCCCATTCCTATCCTTTACATTATGATTTCCAAAAGCTGGATTTTTCATTTTTGTTTCAGGAAGCTACCTTTTTTGGATTCCCAGAGCTATCCTTTTCATTTTGCTTTCCTAGAGCAGCCAATTTCATTTTAGTTTCCCAGAGCTATCCTTTTAATTTTGGTTTCCTACAGATATTCTTTACATTTTGATTTCCTAGAGATATCCTTTACATTTTGGATTCCTCAAGCTTTCCCTTTCATTTTGGTTTCCCAGAGCTATTCTTTACATTTTGATTTTCAAGAGCTATCCTTTTCATTTTGGATTTCTAGAGCTATCCTTTTTATCCCCCCCTCCCCCAATTGTTATCCTTTTCATCTTAGTTTCCCAGAGCTACCCTTTACATTTTGGATTACCCAAGCTATCATTTTCCTTTTGGTCTCAGATAGCTATTTTTTACATTTTTGTTTCCCAGAGCTATCCTTTTCATTTTGGATTCCAACAGATATCCTTCACATTTTGGTTTCAGAGAGCTATCCTTTTCATTTTTGTTTCCTACAGCTTTCCTTTAAAGTTTGATTTCTAACAGCTATCTTTTTGATTTTGGTTTCCCATAGCTATCCTTTTCATTTTAGTTTGACAGAGTTATCCTTTTCATTTTAGATAATCAGAGCTATCTTTTCATTTTAAATTTACAGAGCTATCCTTTTCATTTTGGTGTCCCAGAGCTATCCTTGACATTTTGCTTTTTCCAGGTCTATCCTTTTCATTTTTATTTCAGAGATCTACCCTTCTCATTTTGGATTCCTAATGTATTGTTTATCATTTTGGTTTCCCGAAGCAATCCTTTTCATTCTAGTTTCACA